GTGGATATTATCAATGTGCTAATATTTGATCATGTCAATGACGTCAAAGATGTTGATTTCATTATTGAAAAATGAGTCATTGGATAAGCTTTTGATCCTATTATCTCGTCTTGACGCCAAGATACATGTCCCTTTGTGCACAATGACTGAGGAAAAAAAACTTCAAAACAAAGTGTTAACATAATTGTCTTTTTTTTTTTTTTTTCAAACATGTTTTATGAGGATGGCAGATCAAGTTTTTACGGAAGGGAAGATCGTTCTGGGGTAATGTTTTTTATTCTAATGTCTAATAGGAAACAAAAAGATTACACAAGTAATATACAATTTTTGGATTTTACTACCGACTACTATAACAATAAACTATATCCAGTTTATGCATTTAATTTTACTAATATATTATTAATTATTTACTAATCATACTCCTCCTAAATTCACTTGTTTACAGTAACTGTGACATTATATCATGAACAGAGGGAATATTATTTATGATTCTTTTCTTACCCGGATATGTGTTACTCTTGTTTTTCTAGTAAGTTGTACCAAATGTTATGCAATCACCCAAAGATGTATAGTATGTTTTCATCTAAGCATCACACCAAAAAATATTTGTAATTATTTCACCCGTGTCAACTTCAAACTCATAGAAGAAATATGGATGTCTATTATCCTTCAACTGAAATATTTTAACATAGTAGTAGGGTGCTTCATTTGGTTGCTTCTTCATTTGATTCTTAAGATTTGATTTAAAAAATCCAATATTTTGTTTTCCTCAACTACTATTTTCATCAAATTATAAAAAATATTTCAATTGAATCCCTGTATCTTGATTTATTTTTTTATAATTACATCAGACTCGAACATCTTTCTATTTGAAGTCAACAGATGTTTATGCTTGGGAGTGTGTACATGGTTGTAGTTGTCTTCAAAGCACTACAGTCTAATTAATTTATTGAACATTAACCTCATATTTGCATTGCATCCCATTCTTGTTTCATGTTTTACGTGGCCTTTATTACTATCATCATATGCATTCATTTGATCTGGCACCATTGCATTTGTCTTGAGTGCTAATTTGTTGTCAAATCGGTATCCTTGTTTGTTGGAACAATACTCTAAGTATTGAAGTATCTCTAGCTCTTTTTTTTCTTTTTTTTTTAAAAAATCTTTTTCTACATTTTTATTCTTACTTCAAACCTCCGACGTGCGCATAATCACAATAGAAACATGCGCATTAGAAAATTTTTAAAAGACCATACATAGCATACTTATTGTGTCCGCAAACCAGAAAGTATGTTTGGTCAGAGGATTTTATTATTTACTAATTTTTTTTGCCCATAAATATCAAAACAAATATTGTTTTTATTTTTTTATTATTTAAAATATCAATTTTAAATTCAAAATATCATATTATATATTTATATTACATCATATAATTATTTAAATTCAAATTTTTTTCACTATTCAAATCCTAAACCCTCAACCAAAACACTCCAGTAGATTAATTTTTACAAATTATTTACCGTTAAGAGCACACTGTGTGCTCAAAGATGGAACACTCACAGAGCACAACATATTATTATTAAACGCACATAGTTCTATCTGAGAGAGCAAAAGTTATGTCCCTAAGAGCACTATGATTGCTAAAAAAACCATAAAAAAAACATATGACTTTTAACAAAATATGGTTCAAAGTAATTTGAGCTTAAAAAACATAAAAGAAACATATGATTTTTAACAAAATATGGTTCAAAATAATTTAAACTTAAAAAAACATATTTAATCAACAACACTTATTGTTGATGTATTTTTTTAACAAACAAAAAGTAAAATTCAAAGATATGGAAAATATCTTTAAATTTGATTAATTAGCGTATGAGATTAAGAATCTTTAAACACTGTACGGTACATATGAAAATTAACTGGAAATAAAATTGCTGAAAATTTAAAGTGGTGATCCCCGAATCTGACTTTGATTTGTTGAAGTTGATTGAAGATCATTTTTTCAGAAAAATCCAAATCCTTAAATCCTCCTTGAGAAACGGTACTGGAAACCGTCGTCCGAACGGTTACAACGTCTCCTTTTCAACCGTCTGCTAATCCTTCTCCTGCTGACATGTGCCCTCAACTGACCGCAATATAATTCTCACTTAATCTCAACAGTATCTGACTCCCTGGACCAACCGCAGACCTTCCGCCTTTTTGGCCCGACCGCAAATCTTCCGCCTTATTGATCCGACTGCAAACCTCCCGACTTGCAGACCACCCGACTTATTTGGTCCAGCCACAAACCTCCCGACTTAAAGACCATCCGGCTTGTTAGTCCAGCCGCAGACCTCCCGACTTAAAGACCATCCGACTTATTGGTCCAGCCGCAGACCTCCTGACTTAAAGACCATCCGACTTATTGGTCCAGTCGCAGACCTTCCGACATAAAGACCATCCGACCTGCGGACCTCCTGACCTAAGGACTTTCCGTCCTGAGGACCTTCCGACCTGCGGACTTTCTATCTTGAGGACTTTTCAACCTGCGGACCTCCCGACCTGAGGACCTTCCGACCTGCAGACTTTCCGTCCTGAAGACTTTCCGACCTGCGGACTTTCCGTCCTGAGGACTTTTCATTCTGAGGACTTTCTGACCTGCAGACCTCCCGACCTGAGGACCTTCCGACCTACGGACCTCCTGACTCGAGGACCTTCCGACCTGCGGACCTTCCGACCCGCTATTTTTTTAAAAATATATCTAGTTTTCCTGAGTTTTCCACGGTGCCCCTCGGCCAGTTCGATCAACTCGATTGCTAAGCTCATTTTTCTTTTTACCTTGAGCTTTTTAACCTAATTCTAAATTTCATACGTAACACTTATATATATCATTACAAGCAAATACATTCATTTAAATAAGAATGTGCACTATCAAATAAATGAACATGCTCTTAGTTTGATTAATAGGATTTCAATGGCAGAGATTGACATTATAGAAATAGAAATGAAAACAATATGTACTTATTGATTGAAGATATTTATAAAACAAAAACAGAAATAATAATTTATTTTACATTTTTCTCCCAACCTTGTGCATCATCTTGTTGCGTATTAGCGTTGACAGAATGACCAGGGAAAAAGATTGATGTTTCATTGTCTCTATAGACTTTTAAAAGTTATCAACTAAAACGAATTCTAAATAAAAATATCCAAAATCAAGTTTCACATCGATTTTTCATTCTCGATTTACAATACATTCTCGTAATTAAGTCACAAAAGAGAGAGAAATAAAGAAACGTGTAAAAAATAAAAAAATTTCATAAAAACTATCACGCGAAATATGCACCATGTTTGGTGATTAATAGCTAATTCATATTATGCTTTTGCCCTTATTATCTATTTTCACCGTATGATTAAATGATAATCTAATAAATTAAGACTAATCAGTATTGTACTAATTAACCCTAATAAGTCATATCTTACTACAAAACCAAAACCAAATGCAAATGCAAACCTACAAAACTAATATGAGCAAAATCTTCAAAACTAGTCAAAAAAAATTTAAATTAAACTTAAGTTCAAACTTAAGAGTCCGTTTACACAATCAATTTTCATTCATTTGGCATTATTCATCTTCAAAAAAATATAACATTAAATATATTTTTTCTTTCATAAAATATTAAATCAAATACTAACTTTTTGTTTATTTTTTATTTTTTCAAAATTTTAAAATTCTAAAACTCTTTAAAAAATGTCTGTGTAAACGAAGCCAATTTCAAATTCAAGTGCAAAATTGGCCATACAAAAACCAAACACATCCTTATGAGAAGGCGATTCTAAGTTTTACTAACTTAATGCTATTCCTTTGTACATGCATTAGAAAATATCAAAATAAAAAAGTGGTGGGTCCTTTGGATGTAAAAAAGCAATGATTATTATGTTATATTTGGAAAAAACAAGGGCAGTTTAGTTTGTCACTCACCTTCCTACTTTCCTTGCTCTCTTTTATTTATAAATATAAATATAAATATATATACTTATGTAAAGCAGAGTTTTTGATGGAAGATGGGAAGCTAGAGCCAGAACAATCCCTCCATCAATTCACCCCGTTATCGTTATCATTATTATTATTATTATTATTATTATTCACACCAATCATTATCCAAATCCAATCAATCCCTCTCTGTATATGCATATTATTATTACTATTTGAGTATCAGGTAAATTATAATTAATACTCCCTCCATGTTGTCGTTTTTGTTCGTCTCACATACCATGTCATTTTTTTTTAAAATGATTACACACTTTAATCTCATTTTACATTTTTTAATTTAATTTTATTTTTAATTTTAATTAAACTAATTAGTTATCTTAATCTTAATTTATAATTATTTATATTATAGGATAATTATTTTTCAATAATACATTCTTAATTATCTACTAATTACATTCCTCCTAAAATACCGTGTCTACAGTGTAGCAAACACGGTATCTGGGACGGAGGGAGTAAGTAATTAAAAATATATTAGTAAAAATAATTATAAATTAAAATTAAGATAAATAAATAGTTTAATTAAAATTAAAAAATTAAAAAATATATAATTATATTTTCAAAAATAGAAAAAACAAGTTACGTAGGAAAAAAAGAAATAAAAAATAGAGACAAATTATGTGGGACGGAGAGAATATTATTACTTCAACCGTCCTTTAAAATACTATTTATTTTTTTTATTTTGGTCTGTTCTATAATAATATTTTTTTTTTTTTAGTAATTGTATTATTTATTTAATATTACAAATATCTTTACAATTTAAAATATATTATACAAATATTATTAATATAGTTATTTTAGTAATTTTTATTTTATTTATACTATATTTCAGTATAATACTAATATTTTAAATATAATGTGAAAAAACAAAGAAATACAAATATAGGAGACAAGGGAGTATTGTTATTATTGGTTCTCTTAAATATTTATGTATTCCTGAACTCAGTCAGGCTCAACCAACCTATGCATACGTACAGCTACGTTTTCCTGTGGCGTGGCAATAATGGAGGCGGATCGATCAGCGCCAGGAAGTCGGGGCGGGGCGGCGTACGACGCTGTCTATAAAGCAGCGTTTGACTAAAATAAACCCCCGCCCAGAGAGAGAGGCAATGATGAGAGATGAGAGATGAGAGAAGAGTGGGCGCAGGATAAGCACGTGGGCGTCGCCTTTACCTTCCTCCTCTCATTGCGACCACTCTGCTGCCCTTCCCTTCCCTGCCATGGCGGATTGCTGCTACTTTCTTTTATAGTTTAACACCAACACTCACTCACACCTCCCGTCAAATATAAATAATAATAATAATAATAATAATAATAATAATAATTTACAGTCGCCAGGAAATGATTGGCGGTCGTCGTCGTCGTCGTCGTCTATGATTGCAGCCAGACAACCAGCGCTTCAAGGATTGGATTTCCAGGTCTCCCCCGTTTCTCCCCTATTTTTTATATCTAATTTTCCTCCCCTTTTCTTTTCTGTTTCCTAAATCATCGTTGGATTCCATTTCCGTTAATTTTTCTATTGTTTAGAAAAACATTTCTGCCAATCTCAACTCAACTGGGTTCTTGAATTCATCATCTTCATCTTCATCTTCATCTTCATCGTCTTCTTTGCAGAATAAAAATCGATGAAGTTCATGAAACTCGGATCTCGTCCCGACACTTTCTACACAACAGATGCCATCAGGTCTGTATAAAACAATCCATTCCCTCCCTGTTTAACTAACATATTCCAAATTAAACACTCCTTCTTCAATTCAGGTCTGTGTCCTCGGAAGTGTGCAGCGATCTCATCATCCAACTGAAGGGAGCAAGATACTTACTCCACAAGGTGTCCCAAAATTATCTCTCTCATTACATACATACATACATGCTCCACATTCTTCTAACTACTACCTTGAATTGGATCGAATTCAGTTCCCTCTGCTGTCCAAATGCCTCCGCTTGCAGCGCCTCTGCTCCGAAATCACAGAGCCCTCCCGCCTCCAGATCATCCAACTTCCCGACCTCCCCGGCGGCGTCGAATCATTCGACCTCTGCGCCAAGTTCTGCTACGGCATCACCATCACACTCAGCGCCTACAACATCGTCTCCACCCGATGCGCCGCAGAGTATCTGCAAATGTCTGAGGATGTCGACAGAGGCAACTTGATATACAAAATTGAAGTCTTCTTCAACTCCTGCATCCTCCACGGCTGGAGGGATTCCATCGTCACGCTGCTCACCACCAAGGCCTATCCGACGTTGTCCGAGGATCTCCGAATCACGCCCCGCTGCATCGACGCTGTCGCTTCCAAAGTTCTTTCCCGGCCGACCAAGGCCAGCTTATCCCACAGTTATTCCAGGAGGGCTCGGGACGATGACGATGACGATGTTTCGTGCATTGGCTCTAAGGCGGGGAGAAAAGAGTGGTGGGCGGAGGATTTAGCCGAGCTCGGGATCGATCTTTATTGGCGAACAATGATCGCGATCAAATCAGGCGGGAACGTTCCCGCCGGCCTGATCGGAGATGCGTTGCGAATTTACGCGTCGCGGTGGCTACCGAAATTATCGAATTCGTCGGACGAGGTGACTTCGAAGCACCGGCTGCTATTGGATTCGATTATCACGCTGCTGCCGGGGGAGACGAAAGGCAGAGTTTCTTGCAGCTTCTTGTTGAAGCTTTTGAAGGCAGCCAACATACTTGGAATCTCTTCCTCTTCGAAGAAGGAATTGGTGAGAAGGATTGGAGTTCAGCTGGAGGAGGCCTCAGTCAATGATTTGTTGATCCCGAGTTTTTCGACGACGAAAGATGACTTGGCGTACGATGTAGACGTTGTCGTCGCTATGTTGGAGCACTTCATGGCGCAAGGACAAAGCCCTCCGACGAGCCCTCCGAGGACGAAGGGTGATTTCGAACGGCGAAGGTCCCGATCAGCCGAAAACGTGGAATTAATGGTTCGAGAAAGTAGGCGATCCTCTTCGGCGTCGCATAGTTCTAAGCTCAAGGTTGCGAAACTCATCGATCGGTATCTGCAAAGAATAGCCAAAGAAAGAAACCTGTCTATGTCGAAGTTCATTACGATTGCAGAAGCCATTCCGGAGTTCTCAAGAATCGATCACGACGATCTTTACAAAGCTATCGATGTATTTCTAAAGGTAGAAGAAACAAATCAAACATTGCTCAATCCTTTATATATCCAAGAATCCTTTATGTTTTTAAAAATATTGCACGAAATCCCTTTTCAGGTGATTATGCGTAATATTTTCGAAAACACGACAGAGTTTCATGCTATTTTTAGTAAAAATTTTAAACCATAAAAGAATATAATGTTAACTTTCTAAACCACGAGTGAGTTATAAACAATTTCGTGTTAATTTCTTGACGAGGAATGCAGGGGCATCCTGAGGTGAGCAAGAGCGAGAGAAAGAGGCTGTGTCGGGTGCTGGAGTGCAGGAAGTTATCGATGGAAGCATGCATGCACGCTGCACAAAACGAGATGCTCCCGCTAAGGGTAGTGGTTCAAGTCCTGTTCTTGGAGCAAGCACGTGCTGGCGGGAAGATGACGAGGAGGGAGCTGCCGAGCAACATAAAGGCTCTGTTAGCAGTGCACAACGATGACGATGATGATGACGATGAATCAGAGAGTAAAGGCGCCAAGGCTGCCGCAGCTGCGACACTGAAAATGAGAATGGAAACTGAAAACAAACCAGATATTATTATGGCCAAGTACAAGGGGCACAAGTCGTCGTCCAAAGGGGACATGTTGGGGAAGCTGTGGCCGATCACCCGAAGAAGCGAATCAAGAAGAACTACTGATGGATCCATCCACATATGATATAATAAATTTTATTTCTATAAATCAGATCAAATCACATCAAATCACACGAGGGCTGAGATTAATTGTACGACTGAGCCTCTCTCTGTTTACTTAGCTAATTAAATTTAAAAATATTTAATTTTATTATCTAAATTGTTTCGGCAATAATGTTTTTTGGTTTGCAACAATTTGTTGCAACTTTCCGCGACAAAATGTCATTAATGCATTTTAGCGTTGTCGCGGAAATTTGTTGCAACTTTCCGCAATAAAATGTAAATGTCATTAATGCATTTTAGCATTGTCGCGGAAGGTTGCGACAATTTGTTGTAATTTTCCGCGATGACAATTTATTAAATTTGTCATATAATCATATACTTTCCGCAACAAATATATCCGCGACAATTGAATATTTTTCTGGTAGTGAATATTGTTGTTGCACTGCACAATGCAATTAAGTCGATGGATGGTCGTAGATTAGATGTGATTGTTGTGAGGGATATATGGTAATAAAAGATATATTATCCCTATCGAACTAAATGAGTGATTGAATGATTTTGTGCAAACAGACACATCTGGTGCATTCTTGCATCATGTATGTATGTATGTATGGATGATGCATGATTATCAGTCAAGATTATTATTATTATTGCTTGTGTAATACAGCTCAAGAAATCATGCATGCTCCCTCTCTCTGTCTCTCTCTGCTGTCGGTCGGTAAGGTAAAATAAAATAAATAAATAAATAAATAAATAAAGCATGCAGATTGCAGAGTCCAGTCCAGAAGGCACAATGTCAATGCGTATGATCGATCACTCAGTATTAATTAAGTATTACTTGTGGTGCGTGTTAGGATATATTTTACTAAGGATAGATTAATCAGTTATTAAGTCTGTCTATTAAGGGATACTTGAGTAGTGCTGTGTCAGTTTCAATTCGTGGAGTAATATGCTTCTTCTTTCTTACTTTTCAATGGCTTTTTGTATGGTTGTATTAGCCAAATTTCCTCTCCAGTTGTGCAGTGCATGAATCAAATTTTTCATTGCTTGTTTTGTTCATAACATATTGTTTTAGAAAGCAACAACTCTCTACGGGATAGATTAAGATGACAAGTGAAATTTCATTTATTCAACCATCCATTCCCAAAATTGATACTATGATCATTGGGCGATGCTCATGGAAAATTTTCTACGATCAAAAGGATATTGGATTATAGTGGAGAAAAGGATACCTGTAATGGCAGAAGGCAGCGCAACAGATACACAAAGGAAAAAAATTGAGGATCTGACTCTTAAAGATGAAGGCGAAAAACTATCTATTTCAAGCATTAGATCGTTCGATCCTTGAGACGATCCTCAATAAGGATGCATCAAAGGCCATATGGGATTCTATGAAGTAGAAATTTCAAGGAGCAACAAAAGTGAAGCACACACTTACAATCACTGCGAAGGGAATACGAGGTTCTTGAAATGAAGACATGTGAATCTGTAAATGAGTATTTTGCTCGAGCTCTCACCATAGTCAACAAAATGAAAGCCAATCGTGAGAAAAAAAGCACTGATGATGTTGTCTCAAAAATTCTGAGATCGATAACCTCTAAATTTAACTATGTTGTGTGCTCCATTGAATAATCAAAAGACACAAGCATTTTGACTGTTGATGCATTGCAGAGTAGTTTGCTTATGCATGAACAACGTATGAACATGAGTTCTTTAGCAGAAGAAGCTCAAGTCTTAAAGATCACATCCGGGGAGCAATCTAACGGCAGAGGTCGAGGCCGAGGAAGTTATAGAGGAAGAGGAAGGGAAGCAATAGGAAAATTTTTGATAAATCCATTATTGAATGCTACAAATGTCACAAGTTAGGACACTTTCACTGAGAATGTTCCAATAAGGAAACAAATTTTACATGAATGGAAGAAATGCTACTAATGGGTTTTGTTGGTACAAAGGAAGTCAATAAAGAAGATACTTGGTTTCTTGATTCAGGATGCATCAACCACATATGTGGAAAGAAGGAATATTTCATTGAGCTTGATGGAAGTTTTGAAAATAAGGTCAAGCTAGGTAACAACACCAGCTTGGCTGTAATTGGAAAAGGCAATGTAAGATTGCAAGTGGCAGGCATGGTGCAGGTCATTACAGAAGTATTCTTGGTACCAGATTTGAAGAATAATTTGTTGAGTGTTGGGAAGTTGCAGGAGAAGGAACTAGCCAAATGCTTCAACATGACAGATGCTAAGTATATCATTCTGAGAAAGGACTTATCATGAATACAAAGATGACTGTGAATCGAATGTTCAAGCTAAATGCTCTAACAGTACCACATACTTGTTTCAGCACTATAACAGAAGAAAATGTTCAGCTTTGGCATTGTAGATATGGACATTTGAGTTATAAAGGTCTCAAGACACTTCACCATAAGAAGATGGTAAACGGTTTACCGGAACTAAAATCCCCAGCAAAGTTGTGCAAAGATTGTATGGTAGGAATCCAACAAAGAACACCATTTCCAAAGAAAAGTTCTTGGAGAGCGACCCAAGTCCTTCAGTTGATTTATGCTGATATTTGTGGACCAATCAAACTTGCATCAAACAGTGGAAAAAGGTATATGATTACTTTCATTGATGACTGTAGTCGAAAAGTTTGGGTTTATTTCTTAAAGGAAACATTGGAAGCTCTTATGATCTTCCAAACTTTTAAATTTCATGTGGAAAATGAATCAAATTCCGTCATCAAGTGCTTGCGAATTGATCGAGGAGAAGAATTTACATGACACAAATTCACCAGATTTTGTGATGACAATGGTCTTCAACGGCAATTGACAGCTGCATATACGCCACAAGAAAATGGAGTGGAAAAATGCAAGAATAGAACCATTATGAATATGGTACGCAACATGCTCTCTGCAAAAAAGGTACCCAAAAGTTTCTGGCCTGAAGCAGTTAATTTGACAATACATGTTATGAATCGTAGTCTGACACTTGCCATTAAATATCAGACTCCGGAAGAAGCATGGAGTGGCACAAAACCCTCAGTTGAGTACTTTCGTGTCTATGGTTGCATTTCGTATGTTCATGTTTCTGATCATAACATAACAAAATTAGATGATAAAAGCAGAACGTGTGTTCTGTTGGGGGTTAGCGAGGAGTCAAAGGCATATAAACTCTTTGATCCAAATTCAAACAAAATCATCATGAGTAGAGATGTTGTCTTCGAGGAAGATGAAGCTTAGGATTGCGATCAAAAGGATGAAAAATCCATTGTATGTGATTTGGAATGGGAAGATCAGAAAATGACTGGCACGGATGAAAATGAAGATGAGGATTATACTGAAGATGGAGGTGCTGTCGAACAAGATGCAGATATAGTACATTCTGAACAAGATGCAGATGTAGCAAATTCTTCGATGGATTCGTCATCTAGAAATGTTGTCTCTAGTGTAGATGACAAAAGAACGAGGGCACTACCATTCTGGATGAGAGATTATGAAACTGGAGAAGGTCTTTCCGAAGAAGACAATGAAGCCTTTTCGGCCATGTCTATTTCTCATGATCCTGTTCAGTTTGAAGAAGCTATTAAAAGTGAAAAATGGAGAAAAAACAATGGATGTAGAAATGGAAGCAATTCAAAAAAATAATACATGGGAATTAACAGAACTACCAAATGGAGTAAAGAAGGTCGGGGTAAAATGGGTTTACAAGACCAAGTTCAATGAGTTTGGAGAGGTGGATAAATACAAGGCTCGATTAGTAGTGAAGGGTCATTCACAAACTTATGGAGTAGATTATATCGAGGTATTTGCACCAGTTGGTCGTATGGAAACAATTTGGATAGTTGTGGCATTTGCAGCTCAAAGAGGATGGATTATCTACCAACTAGATGTGAAATCTGCATTTTTGAATGGTGAATTGATCGAGACTATTTTTGTGGAGCAACCAAGTGGCTATGTCCAAAAAGAAAATGAGGGAAAGGTTTATAAATTGAAAAAGGCGCTCTACGGGCTTAAACAAGCTCCACGTGCCTGTCACTCGAATAGATGCTCATTTTCTAAAGGTAGGTTTTGAGAAATGTGATTATGAGCATACATTGTATGTCAAAAGACAAGGGAAGAACATGGTAATTGTCAGTTTATATGTCGACGATCTTATTGTTTTTGGAAATGATGAGCTGATGATAATTGAGTTCAGAGAATCTATGAAACATGAATTCGACATGACAGATCTCGGGAAGATGAGATATCTTCTAGGTCTTGAAGTCTTACAACGACCATATGGTATTTTTTATTAATCAAAACAACTATGCATCCGAGTTGTTGAGACAATTTGGAATGGATAAAAGCAACTCTGTTCATAATCCAATGGCTTTTGGGGTTAAGCTAAACAAGGATGAAGATGGTGTCAAGGTGGATAAGACTTACTGCAAGCAACTTGTAGGCAGTCTAATGTATCTCACTGCCACGCGACCGGACATGATGTTTGTGGTAAGCCTTGCTAGTAGATATATGGAAAATCACACTGAGTTGCGTTTGCAGGTGGTAAAACGAGCTTTGAGATATCTAAAGGGAACTAGTGGTTTTGGGATCTTCTATAAAAGAGGAGACGATGATGGACTTATTGCTTACACAGAAAGTGATTATGCTGGAGATGTAGAAGATAGAAAGAGCACCATCAGGTTATGTGTTTCTATTGAGCTCAGGAGCAATTTCATGGTCTTCTAAAAAGCAACAGGTTGTAAGTTTGTCCACCACGGAATCTGAGTTTATTGCCGCGGCATCGTGTGCGTGCCAAGCAATGTGGTTGAGTAGGGTGTTGGCAAAATTGGATTAGAAGTATAAGAAATTGGTCACTGTTTTTTGTGATAATAGCTCAGCTATCAAACTTTCAAAGAATCCAATAATGCATGGTCGGAGTAAGCATATTGATGTACGTTTTCATTTGGTGCATTGTGATTCAAAGCATCAACTAGCTGATGTGATGACAAAGCCTCTCAAGTTGGATCAATTTTTGAAGTTGCGAAGACTCGTAGGAATGTGTCAAGAGACTGATATAAACTGATTTGTTATAGCATTTCAGTTTAAGGGAGGAAATGTTAGGATTTATTTTAGTAATTATGGATTAAGCAGTTATTAAGTCCATCTATTCAGGGATAATTGAGTAGTGATGTGTCAGTTTCAATTCGTGCAGTAATAGACTCATTATTTCTTGTTTTTCCCATTTCCACATTAATTCTATGGACGACCAACGACTACTTCCTCAAAGGCCGACGCCACAAAGTTACTGTATCCGAATCTCATGAATTTATTTATGCCATAAAGTAAGGAATAAGTGGTCCCAACTGTTGTTGAAAATGAATTAAGGTACAAATGGAAAGACATACTACTTCCATTCGACTCCAATGGTCTCATTTACTTTTTGTGTGTTTATCTTTGAATATTAATTATTATATCAAAATATAGTACAAATTAAGAAAAACTTGCAAAAATACTTTCATTAGTGTCTTATAATAGTAATAGAAGGACATTTGTATAAAAAAATTATATAAATATAAAAATATTTATAATGTTTAGTACAATGACAAAAGGTAAATGTGACCTTAGAGGCTAAGGCGGACGGAGGGAGTAATAAACAAGCACACGGCTGCAGAAACACAAAGTTTATATTCTTTCCTCGAGTCCCAAGGGTAACTCATGCCTCATTGGAGAGGACTGCTCTGTGGATGTCGAAAACGAATGGGGCTATGGTCTTATCGGTTATTTCTTTCCGCGTAACCCGGGATTTGAGGCTATAGATGAAATTGTTCGAACTTCGAAAGTTCATGCAGATATCCTCCCTGGAGCTAAAGAATGGGTTATTTTTAAATTCTCCAACAGAGAGGATCGTGATATGGTTCTCAAAGGCTGTCCCTATGTTAAATATGGATGTTCTTTAATGTTGAAAATCTTGCCTCCATGGTTCTCCCTCTCGAGCAATGAAGTTTTCAAAACTGCCCCTGTTTGGGTGTGTCTTAAGGGAATTCCTCTGGAATGTTGGAGTGCTAAAGGGCTTAGCACTATTGCTTCGTGGGTTGGCTCCCCTATAGCCACTGATAAAATAACTAAAAATAGAGACAATCTCTCATATGCCCGTAATCTTGTCGAGGTTGATGTCACAGCCCCCCTTACAGAGACAGTTGATGTGAAAACTTGGATGGGCCACTGCTTCACTGTCTCTGTTGAATATGAGAACCTCCATATCTACTGCCCTCTCTGTGCAGTGCTAGGCCATAAGTGTGACTTAGAGGATCAAAGAAAGGAAACACTTCGAGTGCAGGCTGCTAATAAACGGCCTCCTGCACGTTCTGCTTGTCCTTTTAAGATGACTAATAGAACTAATGATCGAGTTCTAGCTCCTTCCCTCACAGAAGATAAGAACATAGTCCCTTTGTCCAATCGATTTAACTCTCTGGAACAGGGGGATTATGATACCAATCCAGTAACCCAAACTGTGTCTAATGCCTGAAATTTGGCTAATTCCAGTGGTCTGATCCCCCCCTCAGAGCCATCCAGATACCTCTGGTCTCGCCTCTCTAGTTGAATATAGGGATGTTCAAGTCCAAGATATATCAGATGTGGTGAATAAGCCTTCTGCTCAGCTTCTGGACAATTACACGAGTTGTAACCAGGTTCTTGCCTTGCCCCGGGTTGTTGAGATACAGAGCAATCAGGCTTCTGTCCTGCCTTTGGTTGATGAGATACAAAGCAACCAGGTTTCTGTCCTACCTCTGGTTGATGAGATACAGAGCAATCAGGATTCTGTCTAGCCCCTGGTTGATAAAAAAAAAGAATAATCTAGTGTCTGTCCAGCCCTTGGTCGATGAGTTTGAAAATAATCAGGCTGGTCCCCAGCCCCTGGATGAAATTTTGAAGCCTAACCCGCCTCTTGTGCACTCTGCTACGCAGCCTATGGTTCCCTCACCTGGTCCTCTCCCGACTCAGGTGATTGATGCCCGTGTCGCTATTTCTATTATTTTTAAGACTCTCCTGCAGGATGAAGGTTCAGGCAAGAAAGCCCCCTCCTGAAATAAGGATCCTCAACTGTCCAGTTCGAGTTCTGAAGTTCCTCATCAAACTCCTTTAGCTAAACCCCCTTTGCACAAGCAGGGGGAGTATCACGGGCCTACTACCTGAAGAAATCGACGGGCAACAAATTCCAATCAATTATGAAGGTTGGAGTTTGGAATATTAGGGGAATTCATCAAGCCCCCAAGAAAATCGATCTGATGACCCTTGTTAAAGATCATTCTCTCCAACTGTTTGGTGTTCTAGAAACTAAATGTACAACTAAATACTTTGATGATTTCCTCCAACGGAAACTCCCGGGCTGGAACTCCTCGACTAATTTCCACTGCATTAAGGGTGGTCACATTGCTGTGTTTTGGAACCCCTCAACAGCTTCCATCACTGATATTGTTACTAAGGAGCAATGTATCACGCTGGACGTCACTTCCAGAGTGTCTGCTACTTCTGTTATTATCTCTTTCGCGTATGGTTTCAACTCCCTTGTTAAACGAAGAGGGTTATGGAACAGCCTGCTCTGTCTGGGAGCCTCCTTACAGAAACCCTGGCTCATTCTAGGTGACTTCAACTCTGTTTTGGAGCCCTCGGGTCGGATCTGTGGTAGCATTGTTCGGCCTTATGACTATAAAGACTTTCTCTCGTGCGTTACAGCCCTTGGCCTCAGTGATCTCCCTTCTTCTGGTTGCTGTTTCACTTGGAAAAATAATCGTGTCTGGTCTAAACTTGATCAAGCCATGGTTAATCACTCATGGCTCTCATCTAATTTTGTCAGCTCTGTGGCTTTCCTCCCAGCTGGCTTCTCGGATCACTCTCCAGCGATTGTTTCTCTCTTTGACCATGTGACTAGAAAGGGCTCCCCCTTTAAATTTTTCAATATGTGGACAACCCACCCTTCATTCCTGGACTATGTGAAGGCTGCTTGGGATCAACCAGTGTATGGCAGCGTCCAATTCAAACTGGTTTCGAAATTGAAATTGGTTAAAATAGGCCTATCCTCCCTTAACAAGCTCCATTACTCTCACATTTTAGAACGTGCTAAAGCTGCCTCTGATGCACTGAAACAGCCCCAGGTTGAATCTGATGCTGCTCCAGGCCTTTACCCTACTGAAAATATGTTGGCTCTTAAGGATAAAGCTATTTTTCTTCAACAAGCTGCTGTTGCTTTTGCGCTCAAAAAAAGAAGTATAAATATCTGGTATCTAACGATAAATGCACCAAGCTCTTTCATTCGATGATTAAGAGAAATGCTAAGAAAAATCTGATTGTGAATCTTACTCGAAGAGATGGTACAACTACCACTTCACTGGAACAAGTCATTGATGAATCCTTGGATTTTTATAATCAGCTACTTGGTACAGCAGTGGATGTTTATGATAACGCTATCTCTAACGGGCCTCTAATTCCAGATTCCTTACACGAAGAAATCTTAGCCCCTGTCACTATGAAGGAGGTCTTCTCTGTTCTGAAACTTATGGGCGTCGACAAATCGCCGAACAGCGTTGGGTTCTCAGTTGGTTTCTATATAGCTGCTTGGGACATTGTAGGCTTTGATGTCTTTGCTGCGATCAATGATTTCTTCACCAATGGGAAACTCCTTAAAGAGATAAACCACACAAATCTTGTTCTAATCCCGGAAGGAACGACTTCTCCCGGAGTGGGAGACTTTAGGCCGATTGCGCGTTGCAAAGTCATTTACAAGATTATCTCTAAAATTCTTGCAAATAGGATTAAAATCGGGCTCCACAACATTATTGACTTGTCGCAGGGTGCATTCATTCAAGGACGTCTTATGACTGAGAACATTCTTCTTCTTCAAGACCTCCTCAAGCATTACTCTAGAAAAAGGAGCTCTCCCCGATGCAGGCTGAAACTGGACCTCCGAAAATCTTTTGATTCGATCTCTTGGGATTTCCTTCAAGCTGTTCTCTCTAAGCTGAATTTCCCGGGCTAGTTAATTACACTACTCATGGAATGCGTCACCTCCACCTCGTTCTCCTTGATGATTAATGGCAGCTCTCATGGTCTTTTTCGAGGGAAAAAAGGATTGAGACAAGGTGATCCCCTCTCTCCTTCCCTCTTCATTATTTGTATGGAGTATTTTACCCAAATTTTGAATTTACAAAGTCGTGCTAGGGAAATTAATTATCATCCAGGCTGTTCGGAGCTCAAAATAACTCATCTTGCATTTGCGGATGACATTATCCTCCTCTCTAGAGGTGATGAACATTCGGTGGGAATTCTTCTTGATTGCATTACTCAATTCGGTCGAGTTTTAGGTTTGAAACTTAATATTGCCAAGTCTAATGTCTTTTGTTTCTGGGCCCCCCCTCCTTAGAAGATGATTTGATTAATGCCACTGGATTTCCTAAAGGTTCAATCCCATTTAAGTACCTTGGTGTTTGTGTGGCCCTCGGTAAACCAAAGCGAAAAGGCTGTTTCAATTGGCAGGGTTCCTTTTGGGTTTATCCTAAATAATAAAATATGGTCTTAGGGTTTAGGGTGTTTGAGGTGCTTATAAATAGATACCTATGGATCCTAGCCGTATGACAATGATTGTAACTCTCTGAATCAGTATAATAAAATCTCTCTGGTTCCTACACATGGACTTAGGTTGACACACCGTCACCGAACCACGTAAAACCTCTGTGTTCTTTATTTGCTTTCTTTCTCGTTTTCTCATAACAAGTAGTATCAGACTCATATCTGATTGATTGAAGATGTCATTGTATAAGTTTGATTTGGAGAATTTTAATGGGTCGAATGACTTTACATTCTGGAAGGTCAAGATGAGGGCACTTCTGTTTCAACAGGGATGTGCGTCTATGTTGGAGGGAGAAGACAAGCTTCCTAAAGATACGAAGGAGGAGATGGATAATGAGATTTCGGCTTATTCCGTGATCTTGCTGTCAGTTACTGATGAGGTGTTACGGGAGGTTGTAGATCAGACGACGGCTTCTGGACTATAGAATAAACTGTGTGCGAAGTACCAGAACAACTCTCTCACGAACAGGCTATATCAGAAGCAATGACTCTACACCCTCCGGATGTCCGAAAGTACTCAGGTAAAGGTCATCTTCATACCTTTAACCGTATTATTCTTGATCTCAAGGGGTTGAGGTTAAAATAGATGATGAAGATCAAGCCCTAATTTTACTGTGTTCACTACCTGGTTCATATGAGAATTTTGTAGATACTATGCAATATGGTAGAACTACAATTTCTGTTAATGATGTGAAAGATGCCCTTATGTCCAAAGAATTGAAAAGAAAGGTTTCTGTGGAAGAGGGTTCTGGTTCAAGTCTGTTTGCAGGTAGGAGAAGACCACATGAGAGGGGTAATGGGAATGGGAGGTTATGTTCAAAATCAAAATCCTTTAGCAAAGAGAAGTGTTATTTTTGCAAAGGGAAGCGGCACATTAAAAGGGATTGTCCACAGAAGAAGAGAAATACAAAAGTTGAGTCTAGTAACAGTGGTAGTGATGTTGTGGTACAAGATAGTTCTGATGATGGGGATGTTAATGAAGTTGTGACAGTGTGTAGTGCTAGTACTGCTGATACCTGAATTATGGATACCGGTGCTTCTCACCATATGACGTTCTCTCATGATCTACTCACTTATTTCAATGAGTGGAATGGAACGGTGAAGTTAGGTGATTATGGGGTTCTAGCCATAAAGGGGAGTGGGATAGTGCAGATAAAATTGCATGACGGTACTGTCAAGAAATTTGACTGCTGGTAGGTTTCTGAACTCAGAAAGAATTTGATTTCTCTTGGCACCTTAGCCAAGAAAGGTTTAAAATATCATGGTGATGGTGAGTGGGTGAAAGTCCTAAAAGGTGCTTTCGTGATGATGAAGGGAAAACTGCAGCATAGAATTTATTTTCCAAAGGTAGTTCAGTGATAGGAACGGTGGAGGTATCCTAGTCTTTGGATAAACATGATGATAAGACAAATTTTTGGCACTGTCGATTAGGTCACATGAGTGAGTAGGGGTTGTCTGTGCTGAGCAAGCAGGGTTTATTTGGTAGGGATGTGACAGGTAAAACTCAATTATGAGAGGCTTGTGTAAAAGGGAAACAACGCAGGGTGAGGTTTAATACCGGTCATCATACTTCAAAAGAAATTCTGGAGTATATTCATTCAGATTTATGGGGTTCTTCTCCGGTGAAATCGCAGGGCGGTTATTCTTACTTTGTCACATTCATAGATGATTATTCAAGAAACGTTTGGTTGTACTTTTTGAAGAACTAAAGATGAGGTGTTTAGGAAGTTCAAGGGGTGGAAGACTATGGTTGAAAAACGGGTGGGTAAACCGGTCAAGACTTTAAGAATTCATAATGGGTTGGAGTTCTGCAACGCTCCATTTGATGATTTCTGCAAGAAAGATGTATAGTGAGGCATCGCACTGTATGGCACACACCACAACAAAATGTGGTTGTAGAGCGTATGAACCAAACCCTCATGGCGCGTGCTAGGTGTATGCACATATTTGCTGGCTTATCTGAGCAATTCTGGGCTGAAGCAGTTAACACTGCTAGCTATCTGGTTAATAGATCTCCATCAACTACAATTGACTTAAAGACTCCTTAAGAGGTATGGTCCGGTAAACCCTCTGATTCCTCTAATCTAAGAATATTTAGATGCTCTGCATACGCTCATGTGAATGATGGTAAGTTGGACCCGAGGGCGGTAAAATACATACTTCTAGGGTATGCAACATGAGTCAAAGGTTATCGACTGTGGTGTACAGAAAGTAAAAGTCCTGGTAAATTTTTTATTAGCAGAGATGTAACATTTGATGAAACTACTATGCTTGATCAGAGTAGAGGTTGTAAAAGTATTGCAAGTAGAAAAGATTGTGGTGCTGATCAGAGGGTGGAGTTTTAGACTCCTGACAGAGTGATATTAGAGGAAGAGCAGCAGAATAATACTATTGATCAATATGATCAACTAGATCAGTCAAAACCTCAAGGGAAACCGATTGAGGAGGAAGCTGACGACGCTGGTACAGGGGTTGAAGATTCTATAGTAGAAAGGAAGAGAAAAAGAAATATTCAGAAACCAGCTAGGTTTGCAGGATGTGTCAATACATGTGACATGAATTCTGTGGCTTATGCATTGGCAGTTGGTGATCTTGGCTTTGATGAGTTAAAGACATATAAAGAAACTATGGCGAGTAAAAATGCAGAAAACTGGATTATAGCAATGAATGAAGAGATGCAGTCTCTTGAAAATAACAAGACTTGGGATCTTATGGCACTACCAAAATGGGTGAAACCAGTAGAATGCAAGTGGGTCTTTAAAAAAAATGAGAGAATTCCTGGTGTTGAACCTGCTAGGTTCAAGGCGAGAGTGGCAGCAATAGAGTTCTCATAGAAGGAATGAATCGATTACCATGAAGTCTTTTCTCTTGTGGTGAAACAAAAAATCATCCGGGTTCTTTTTGCAATGGTGGGTGCTTTTGATCTGGATCTGGAGCAGCGTAATGTAAAAACAACATTCCTTCATGGTAATTTAGAAGAATGGATTTACATGTCTCAACTGGAGGAGTTCGACAGTTCTAAAAGGGACCATGTATGCTTGTTAAAGAAATCTCTATATAGCTTAAAGCAGTCTCCGAGGCAGTGGTAAACGAAATTTGATTTTTTCATGATGTCTAATGGTTATACTCATAATCAATTTGATAATTGTGTTTACTCGAAGAAATTTTCTAGTGATTCCTTTGTATATTTGTTGTTGTATGTTGATGATATGTTAATTGTAGCTAAAAACATGGTTGTAATTAATGACTTAAAGGCTCTACTAAAGGGTGAGTCTGAGATGAAGGATTTGGGTGCAGCAAAGAAAATACTGGGTATGAAGATCTGGCATGATAGAGAAGCAGAACGGCTATGGGTTTCTCAAGAAAAGTATATTGAGAAAGTTTTGCAGGCATTCTTTGTTGATCAGTCCAAACCGGTAAGTAACCCTTTATCGGCACACTTTAAACTTGATCGAAGCACTATACCGGCTACAGATGATGAGGTTAGCTACATGAAAATGGTTCAATATTCAAGTGCAGTTGGAAGTCTTAGGTATGCGATGGTATATACGAGACCAGATCTCGCTTATGCGGTTAGTGTGGTGAGCAGGTTTATGGCTAATCCGGGTAAAGCTCATTGGGGAGTTGTAAAGTGGATCTTGCGATATCTGAAAGGAGCATCTGATATTTTTCTGGTATATGATGATAAAGGCCA